CTTTTGACAAGCAGCACAATGCCCTGCACACTTACTGTCAACGGTTCTGGAGCTCACACCCGGAACTCGCCACCTTCTTCAGCATTTTGTCTGCACCGATCAAATGAAAAGTTAGCAGTGACTGGAATTATAATTAGAATCACGTTAGCGGTGTCAAAAGCATTTACAACATTTAAGACATAAAGGTTTCCCAACACCTTGCCACTTATTCCCCTCTTCCTGCAGGAATGTGCAGCAACGCTGGTGTTTATTTATATTTCTGGCAGTCTGTCTGATTATTACTGTCCTTTAAAATGAGAGTAATATTGCCAACAAAGCAGAAAGTGGCTAATAAAAAGTAAATTAAGTGAAACAGGCTAAAGCGTGTGAGCCACATGGTTGAATGTGTGTAAATCTGTTGCACTGATCTCAGTTTGACCTTCTGCCACACACAAAATATTCCCCAACAAATGTTTAGACTGTTTAAAAATTATATTTTGTAAATTACAGAATAAAAAGTTCTTAAAATTTTCATTGACTATATATGAATAAAATAGTTCCTTTGCTCTGAGCACTTTAAACACATTTAGTTCTCTGCGAGCAGCAACCACCTACATTTTTTTGCTTTGCATTTTAAAATAAGCTTTTAATCCCATGTGTTCTGAAGTAACGTGGACAAATTATTAACAATTAGTATCGTACCTGTTGTAGATAACTCTTTAAATGAGCTCTGTTTGGAGACAAATGGTTCATTTCTGACAGGATTGATGCACTAACAGCTAGTCGAGGCAGCTCAGGACTAACGTGGATTATGTCATTTCAAAACATTTTTCATCCAAAGAAGTTCACACAATTATATCTTAGAAACCTTAACAACTGCATGAATTTTACATTACATAGTTATTTTCAATAAAAACAAATAAAAAAAAACTCCAAGCACAAAAATCAGCAGAAATAGCTAGCTGTAGCATTTAGCACTTTTGGTGCAGACTGGGCCAGGAATACCAAAATGTTTCTGCCAGAACAACCATGTAATGACAAATAAGTTTGGTGTGTAAAGGTTTAAAAAATAATGTGGTATCACTTTTCAATAAGGCTCCCCTTATAGATGGCTAATAAATAGTTTATAGATACATTAATACTTCTTCTATAAACACCTTATAAATCATTAATAACTGCTTATTATGCATTAATTATGCGCAAGAAAGAGACAAAACTGACCAGTTTCTTGCCAAATAGTGAGACAAATCTGTTCATCCATATATTTCATCTATAGCTATTAAACATTTCAGGATAAGTTACTATCTTGTACAATAAGCATTTGCAAACCTATTTCTTTAGCATATAATATTGGACTTTATTACTGCATTATAAGTATTTACAACTAATATTATATCCTAAAAAAACATGTTTACAAATGCTTATTGTGCTTACAAGGTAGGAACTTAGTCTGAAATGTTTAATACAACAACTCTGGATGAGGTGAATAGATTTGGCAAGAAACTGGTCAGTTTTGTCTCCCTGTCACCATTAATTAATGTATAATAAGCAGTTATTAATGATTTATAAAGTGTTTATAGAGGAATTAATAACAAATCTATAAAATATTTATTAGCCATCTATACGGGGAGCCTTATTGTAAAGTGGTACCAATAAAGTTTGCACGAATCACTGTAAAAATGTTTGATTTGAGACAGCATTTTTGGTTTTGTCCTTGTTTAAACTAGCCTTTAGCTGGACAATCAGGTCAGAAATCAACTCTTTTCAAACTGAGGTATTTATTGCGTTATCTAGAACAGGTAAGATATTATTTGTTCAAACCCTTACAGAAAACCTTACGTCATCATACCTTCATCTTCATCATACCATCATACATCTGAATTTTTGCTTTGCCTAATCCTTCAAAGGCCTAAATGACTTACCCGGTATGTGTTTTTTGTTGGTCGAAGTATTTATTTTTTATTTAGTTGATGATGCTGTATTTTTTAAAATCTGTATACCAACAAAAATAAAAAGTTTGGCTATTTATATCACTCATTTCAGGCAGTTTCCATGAAACGTTTCAGTCCATATAAAACAACTTCTAGTGGAAACCATCTTCTTGCCTCCTCCTTTGTGGCTGTGGGTTTGTAAAAAGAGTTGATTAGGAAGTGATCTCCTTATAAAGGAAAATGAATAAAACAAGATGAGTCTTATAGATCAGTCTCCAAACGATTTCCCCTTTTTTCCCCCTCAGTGCCGGCTGGATCGGTGGCGAGCTGACCAGAATGTGCTTCCTGCTCTGCTGCGTTCCCAATCATTAAGTACCAGGAGACGCTCTAATGGCCTACTTCATAAAAAACATTGAGCTCTACGGCATACAGTAGCTAAGAGCTGCAAAGTTAATCTAGGACTGCTGGTCAGGTCGCATCGCAGCGATTCGCAGACTGTCTGTTTTGCACCACAATACCTAATGAAAATAGTCAGTTTTACTCACAGAATCAATAACTCCAGTTTTATCTATGAGATTAACATATAATAGGATGCGATGAGAGTGCATCAAGGCAAATTTTTCACAATCTCCCAGTGCTGCAGCGCTACTTTGCATGAATTACAGTAAAATCTGGAGTTATGCATGCAGATAGGCCCCTAGCTGTTAGCATCCCCCCGCAATGTTTCGGAAGAGAAAAGGAGCGAGGGAGGAGAAGGAGGAGCAGAGAGGAAGTCCTGGGGAGGGGGAGACTTACACTCCCAGCAAGGATACAGTGCCTTGATAAAGTATTCATACCTCTTGAGCTTTCCCGCATTTTGTGAAGTTACAACCACAAACTTTAGAGTATTTTACTGAGATTTAAAGGATAATTTCATTTGAGGTGTGTACTTGTATTTACCCCCCTTTACTCAGATTCCCATAGCTGAACTTCAGTGGGAACAACTGCCTTCAGAAGTCACTTAATAATAAATAATATCCACCTGTTTGTATTTTCATCTCAGTGTAAATCCAGATGTTCTGTGAAGACGTCAAGGGTTTGTTAAAAACAGCATCATGAAGACCAAGAAACACAACCGACTGGTCAAGGATTATGCATGGAGAGAACATGCAAACTCCACCCAAGAAAGACCCCCGGCCGGGATTTGAACCGCCGACCTGCTCGCTGAGAGGTGGCAGCTCTACCAACTGCGCCACTGTGCCGCCCGCACAGGTTAGATTACGAAACTTAAAATGTAACAAAGTTCAAGAAGTGTGAACTCATGGCGCTGTAGCTCTTTATGTCCATTGAAAATGGAAACAGTAATAAGTCATAAAAGGAAAAAGAAAACTTTGATCGAGAGAGAAAAAGTTTAGTGAAACTTTACAGTCGCCTTTTTTTACAGTTTTAATTTGGCACATGGCACAATCAGCATGAATGCATCTGGTATACATAAATAAATATTAAATATTTTATACATAAATACACATATAGAGCTCCTACAAAGACACCTAGAGGGTTCTTGGCTTGTTTCAAACAACAAAACTGTTGGGACGTTTCGTTCTGAATGGCGTTTTAATTGTTCTGAAAGAGGAGCGATGTTTTCATAGAAGCCCTATACATATATGTATGTATGCCCATATTTATATATATATTCAAAGAAATACAAGTGTGCACTGATGTCGGTTTAGTCAGTGCAAACAGGCCACTGTCTGTTTGAAGAGGAACTCTTACAAAGTCAATGGAATCATGTCAGTTAGTTCAGTTGAATCTTTAGCTATTTTTTTTCTCTCTTACACATAAAATAATATATTTATTTTGTATTCATTAAGCAAAAAATTAGACATATAGAACTTTGAAAATAACAAAAGTGCTATGTTGCAAAAACGGACAGCCAGAGACGCAGCAGAAACATGAGCGATGTTGGACCAAAATCATCAACATGAGGAAAATAAAAGCCCCAAAATTGAAAAAAAACACTATATACCAAACAGTAAAATGTGAAACATAGAAAAAAAAAATGTGCACGGACTCTCACACACGCACGTCCTCACTTACATCTCTTGCATTTGCAAGTTCCAGCAGTGCATCTGCTCCCGTCTTTATCTCAGCCTCTCGATCGTGCTCGCACACAGAAAATAAGAAATCATTTTCAAATGCACACAGACACGCTGTTGCTCCGAGCAGCATGTGCACGTGCACACACTGTGGGGATAATATCAGCTAGCTTAACAGATAAATTGGCTGTAAAAGATGCACTTTTTTTTCTTAAAACAATCACAGTAACGTAGCGTTTATCTCTGCCATTTCATCTCTTGACAAGAGCTGTCCCACACAAAACATCTCTACACAAGTTGAAAACCCTCCCCAAAAAACAAGATAACATTGTTTGTGTGGTTGTTGTGTTGGTATGCAACAAAAAAAGTAAACAAAACACCAAAAAAAAAAAAAGTTGCCCAAAAAGGATTGAAAATCTCTACATCTGCGTGTCCTCTAAATGCCTGTCCTGGATTCAAGTCTCGCGTCTTTGAGTCTGCTCTGCTTGTAACGCACTCCATACAGAATATTCTCACCGAGTAAGAAATAATGACGAAAGAAAAAAGCTCAGTAAGGCATCAAAACGTAAAACAAAACAAAGAAGCAATTAAAAACATTTTGCGAATAGCAACGCAGAGGCCATTGTTTCTGGATGTGTCTCCCGCAGGAGGGAAATAAAAAGCACTTCTGTTTTTTGTTGTTGGTTTTTTTTTTAGTTATGAATTCAAGAAATAAAGTGTTGATATCTCCTCAAGTCTGTTTAAAAAGGCTTTTTAAAATGATTATTTTAGAAAAAAAAATACTGCAGAAAGACCACCTCCCCTATGTCAGGAGAAGGGAAGCAGTTTTGATTTTGGCAGCTCTGCACAACTTGACATCCACGGAGAGCTCTCAGCAGCTCTCCTCGTAGTAAAAGTCTGGGTAAATCTCCGCACGTTTTAATCCCGCTTTCGCGCCCTTTTCCCCGCCCCCCCCTCCTCGCAACCCTCCCGTCCGTTCTCCGCCTGTGATATTTATAAAACACAATCCTCTCCAACGTTTGTTCAGCCTCCTGCCCCTTCCCTTCCTTTTCCGCCTGCCCGCTTCTTAAAGCTATACGCGGGTGGTTGAGTGGGAGTGCGGCAGGCCGGTGGAGTTGAAGCCGGTCGTGAAGGTGTTGTACGGGTGGAGGTTGGGCATACCCACCAGGGAGTTGGGGATCATGGTGATGGTGTTGGGGGTCATGAGGGGGATGTCGTCCGGAGAGCGGCGCAGTGTGAGCGTGTAGTCGGGCAACGAGGCCAAGCGCAGCGCCCCCTCGTTGCTGTTCCCCGCCTCACACTCGTGGTGCGTCTGGTTCATCTGCAGCGACATGATCTCCTCCTCGGGCGCGTGGTGGCTGATGTCGTTTGAGGTGGTCTGCAGCTGGGGGCTGGGCTGCCCGTGGCCGGAGTCCTGCCGCCGCTTGTCCTTGCGATAGTAGAGCGCCGCAAAAGCAAGGACATTGAGGAAGAGCAGCGAGGCCCCCACTGCGATGGTGACACTGAGCTCCGTGGAATAATCCCGTGGGTTCTCCACGACAAGTGGCCCCGACTCCTCATCGCCGTTCCAAGATTCCTTATCGTCACTGTTGTAGGCCGGTGACATGGGGGGGCGTTTGGTGTTGAAGGGCCAGCTCTTCCCGTTGGGTCTCTTGGTGGACAGGCTGTTCTGCGTGGTCTCTGGAGGTGGCACTTTGGTGGTGGTCGAGGTGTAGTGAAAGATCTCGTTAAGGTTGTACAGGTGGGGCACTAAGTGTTTCCAGAAAGCCACTTTGGTGGCCCTGTAGTGGTCGCGCACACGTGGCTTCAGGCCAATATGCAGGTACAGCTGTTCCTGGGGGTTGTACTTGGACCAGGCCACTTCCTCAAAACGGTTGGCCTTGGTGTGGATGAACTTGGTGTCTTGGGGAACTGGTTTGTTGGGATCCCTGCAGTCAAAAAAGAGATCAAGCAAACAGAGACTCAAATGAGATTTTGACGGTACATTTAATTATTCATGCTTTGACCTTCATTTAGAGCCAGGAGGCATTTAATAAGAAAACCCTCTGCTAGGAGGCACAGCTTCAGTTTTGGCATGAAAGGGTTTCAACCTGTGGAAGAAAGTATAAAAGTACAAATACCCAACTGCAGGTAAAAATAAAATGCCTTGCTTTTCTTGAACGAGTGCATATCACCTCCCAACCTTTTATGCTTGAGTTTAAAATAAGATCATCTTACATTGAGAAATGAAAAAGTTATAGCTGTTTTGGTCAAACCTTGAAAATATGGTACTCACAGTCTCAAGTGATATTTCACGATCTGTACACACTTGGGAGTATTTTTGTGAACGACTCTCAGCTGCCACGACAAAACTTTAGCTCAATAACCAACAAAGTCCATGCTCAATAATCCAGGTATACAATCCAACAATTTTCAGTCAGGTCATCTGGACAGTTTCTTTTTTTTTGTGCTGAAACGTTTCACCTTACATCCAGAAGGCTTCATCAGTCAAGGAAACACAACACAAAACTGATTATTCCCCCAACAACTTACTCCAAAGTGGAACAAACCAGTTATGTTGGTGCTAAGATGGTCTCTTTGGCACGCCCCCTCCTCCGGTGCCAGCCCTTTTCCTCGTCGACAGTCATGGTCAAACTCAGTTTAGTTCGATAACTATAAAACTGACTGAGTCAGAATCAAGTCTGTGTTGGTAAGTTTAATTACTTGTCATGGACATTTCGCCGGATTCCAAAAGATAATTGGTTATAGATGTACATACAATGATGACTTTTTAAGAGCTTCAGTATAACTCATGCAGTGGATCATCTTGCTAACAAACATCAGTGACTTCAACAATGTTAAGAGCAAAGTTTTATTAGCAAATTTGTAAGCAAAGATATTGCTCAGTCTTTGAATATGTGTTGGAGACAACTCTCATCTACTACTGTGCCATTTTTTTTAGTTCCAGTTTGGTGGCACAGAGGTTAGAGAAGATGGGCCTGTGATTGGAAAGTCGCAAGTTCAACTCCCTGGACAGAGAACATCAAAATGTGGGTGGAGTTGGTGTAACACCCACACCTGCCCCCACCCTCATTTGCCCCACTCTGGACCCTTGAGCAAGGCTCTAAACCCCATCATCTACTCCTGAACAGGTCTCTCTTGAAAATGAGTTCTTGTGACTCAATAAGACTACCTGTATAAATAAAGGGTAAATTAAAAAAATATGTCAAACTGACCAAACTATAATAGTTCTTGAATTTTCGACGGTTAATTGACTGAGGTGGCCATCTTGATTTGGGTTGGCTCCAAATAGTCAATTTAGGAGAGTTTAATTAAAATATACTCAGTGGTTTGTAAGATATTTAGCTAACAAACAAACAAAGTTCCTTAACAGATTCAAAGAGTTGATGCCAAAGCATAAAAAAAGATCTCGTGCAATCATTTTGTGCTCTGAGTATGGGTTGAGGATTAGTATCAGTTATCACCACAACAAATTTCAACTCAGTTGTAGTCATTTTTGTGTTTGCTAAGTTTAATTAACTGTGATAGCCAAAATAGAGATTAAAAACATATTTTACTAACAGAAATACACAATAACAACTTGTGTGTTTGCTGTAGTATAAACTGACACCAGTGTCTAATTTGTTTTGTGTGCGTAATTTTCCCATGCCTTCTTCACCTCCTGCTCTTCCTTCACCCTCTTTGGGGGCATATTTCATACCGTACACCTCACCCCCTCGTCTTCACTCTCCCCAGATGTTGATCTTATGTCAGTTCTGCAGCAGCCCTCCTCTTGAAACCTGTGCTGAGGCTTTTAGATTAAACATGTATGAATAAGTCAGCGGTCTTTAGGGCTCGCATCAGGAGGTATGCTGCTGTGGATAATCCAACGCTGGTGAAGCACCCCCCTCCCCCTCTCACTAATTGCTCAGGGAAGGCAACAGAGCATTCCTTGAACTGATGTAAAGAGGACCATATTAATCAAGACAGGATGTTTCTGGGCATGGGACTGGGCAGGAGATATTTATTTATTTATTGGTATTTAAAAAAAATCCTGGCTGCAGTATCTAACTTGACCTATAGAGGTCACTGTTTCACTTTTCCCTTTTTCAACATGTTGCGTCAAAGAGCCAAGCATTTCAATTACAGTGGAACTATTGATTTATCGAGCGAATTAACATATAGCAATCTCCAACCATCACACAGTTCCTTTGTTGCTGTGTACGACGTCGGGATTGGGAGCTCTGAGGCGACCGCTCTTGCTAAATTACTTTCTGTGAATTCTAGCCGGGTGGCCTTGAAAACACAAAGTCAGAAGAGCGAACGGTGGAAAAGAAACAAAATAAAATAAAAAAAGAATCAGCCGTTTCTCTAAACACGTTATAAAATATTTCTCTGAGGTTCTGAATGCATTGTTGATGGCAAGCAAAGTTCAAATTTAGTTGGGGATTTGGGGAAATTGCAACTTTTTTTTTTCCCCTCCTTGTGCTTTTTGGGCGTAGGCTGAAAACCCTCCAAACATAGCTAAGAGAATTAAAAGACACGCCAGAAGCGTTCACCGCCATGCTTCTCTCCTGTTAGTTTCTCTGCTGTCAATTTTTATTTTTCAGGTCAGTGCTTCTGGGAGAAGGAGGGAGGGGAGTAAAGCAAATTGAGACGGCTGAAGCTGAATCCCCGAACCTGGGCTGGTGTCAGCGGAGCAGCCCCGTAAATAACCTCTTTTATTAGGCCTGTAATGATCCCCGATGAATATTGACAGCCGGACTATGATGACTTTGTAGCTGAATATCAGTAATTAAGTTTCATAGGAGCGGGCGGTGGAGGTAAGGTCATATTGATCTTCCCCAGTGCAACATGCCAGGGAACAGGATGTCGGTTGAACAGCCCGAGACGTGCGGTTGTCTGCAGCCCGCGTGCCTCATGAATTCTTACTGCTGCACCGTGCGTGCCATCACACAGGCACACAGGAACATTTTTCCGCCTTCCTTCATATCTCAACCACAAATGGAAGTAACGGAGGTCAGAGCTGTCTCCATTAATAGGAGTTCTGCTTTTCCACAATATTGCAAACACCTTCTTTTTCAAGAGGGTCAGTTGGCTAAACGGTGGTGAAACAACAATTTAAAAAAAATAAAAATAAAAATGAAGAGAAAAACAGAAAAGTCTGCAAATATGCTTGGAAAGATTTGGCAAAAACAATCAACGTGTGTGTGTGTGTGTGTGTGTGGCAGGGAGTGAAGGCGCAATGGTGCAGTGGAGTTGGGAAAAGCTCTTCGGTGGCTGGCTGACTGGTTCAGTGCAAGTGAAGATGAATAATTTAAGGAACACAAAGAAATCAATGTGGCATCTTTAGTTAATTTGATTTGCCGCATTAGAGAACAACTGGCTGCCTTATCTAATTACACACACATATGCTTGGGTAATTGTTGCAAAGTCAATAGTAAACAGGGTACATTCCTTTGAATGATTCCTCTTGTTGTTGCTAAACTTTGGGTTGCTTTGGGGGATTTTGTAAGTTCTGTGCTGAGTTGCGGAGTCAAGGGGAGCGAGTCTGAAATGGGGCTCTGATTTACTCAGAGTCGGCGAGGCCTGCGTGTCGGGTCAAGAAGTTTGTGGGAGAACTGAACGCCACCATGTAACGCAGAGCAGTCAAATTCATTTGGTTTCCTTGGCAAAATGATCCTGTTTTCTGCAGATATTAACCAGTCTGCAGTGTCAGCAGAAATATCTGCTTTAACATCATCGCAAATACACTCTGATCTGCCAAAACATTAAAACCACACAACTGTTACAACCTTCTGGACGGTTTTGGCATGAATGTTGAGTTTCTATCAACGTCGTTTTGCATTCAGACACAAAAGATGTTAAAAAGTTTAGGTCCTAGGGGTTTTGGGACTAGAAGGCTGAGTCAGCGCTTTGTTTTTCTTTTATTCAGTTCCAGAAGTTGTTTCAGATTGTTTACCATCTGACGCTGAAAGGCAAAGGCAGGGCGATATTGTTTTTACCAGCGTCTGTGTGTGCATGTAGGTGTGTGCGTTTGTCTCTTAGCATAATATCTCAATACTGTAGAATAAACTTGAACACAGCTTGCAGAAAGCAAGCAGTGCATTTACAACTGATGAACTCTGGAGTTAAGCATATTCGAGTTTACTGCCACAGCCAAATGACCTTAGAAAGCACACAAACGGCTATGATTCAGTCAGTTTCACAAATAGTGTGCGAAAATTATGTATTAGTAGCTTAGAGCCATCCCCAACATATATTAGGCACTAACAAATTGCAGATTATTATTTAAAGTTCTGCCATTAACTATTTAGATTTAACTCTGTCTGATTGTTACCAACATATCTCATGAACCATTAGACACATTTTAATGAAACATTTATTGAACACACATCTACAACTGATTAACTAACCTCTCATAGAAAATTTTGAATAAAGTAGATGCCATTTCCTGCATTCTGGTGCATTTTAACGGGTTGTTAAACATCTACGTTTACCTACATACCAAAAACTGCCGGAACTAACGTAGCGTTAAGCTAGCAGTGCACAATACAGATGTGTTATCTAAGATGCTACAGACGTAGCGCTCCGCTTCTCTCACACATCCTAACCTCCGTAAACAACCGCCAGCACTAACACGGCGCTAAGCTAGTGCACAAAACAGCAGTGTCTCCCCCTTCTCCCCACCGTGAGCACCCTGCCAAGGCAGATGACCTCGGAAACACTGCGTGCAGTGTGGAGTTGTTGTAGGTAACCAGGAAAACCTGGAGTGGATTTTTAGTGGTTTGAATATTCTCCTATTAATTAAGTGGAATGGATTTGTTCATAAAGAAATAGAAACAGTGCTGGATGAACTAATATTTCATGGTAAACATGTGTGTGTGTGGGGGGTCCGAATTAATATTTTTTGATTGTGGAGGGGGACACGTCTCCTTCACATATGATT